GGCCGCGCTGCCCCCACCCCGGGCGCCAGTCACATGGGGCGGAGGCTTATGGCCGGGCTCCCGCGATCCTCGCGCCGCGCTCGCCTTCCCTTTGGATTGCTTTGTTTTTTTTTTGTCTGTCCGTTTTTGTCTTCCGGTTTTTTTTCCTCTCCTCCTCTTCGCCCTCTCCTCTCCTTCCTCCTTCGCCTCTCCGGGGAAGGCGGTGCAGGGAGCGGGACTATTTCTCCCCCCCCCCCCGGCGGAAGGATCTCGGGGCTCCGCCGACGGGAGGTGACGCGCGCCGCTCGCTCGCTCGCAAGGAGATCCGGCCGGGGCGGCGCGCTGCGCTGCGCGGCGGGCGCAGTGGCGTGAGGCGGCGCGGGCGGCCTGGCTCGCGGCTGCCGCTCGGGGCTCCCTCTCAGTGCGGCGCTGAGGCGGCGGCTCCGGCGCGGCTCCTCATTGCGCCCGCAGGCGCAGCTGGCGGCGGCTCAGGCTGGGCAGGCTGCAGTGCGGGCGGCGGCCGGAGGCGGCGGTGCAGGCCATGACGGCGGCTTCCCCAGCTCCTCGTCAGCCGCCTTCAGAGCGCGGGCGGCGGTTGCTGCTGCTCTCGCTGCTGCCCTCCCGGGCGTCCAAGGCACATGGGAGCCGCCCGCGCGGCCGGAGGCTCCTGCCGCTCCCGCCGGGCGCCGCTGCCCGTGCCCGCCGAGCTGCCCCTTTGTCCCCGCGGCTGCCTCCGCGGCCTCCTGCCGCTGCGCGCTGCGTGTGCGCCCGCGCCGCGCAGCCGCCTATGCGCGTCGCCGCCCTACGCTGCGCAACGGCCCTAGGCGCCCTCCGTGAATACCCAGCCGAAGAGCCCGGCGCGCTCGCCAGCCCCTACCCCGAGCTCCTCACGGAAACGCCCGAGCCGCCTCGGGACCAATCGCGAGGGCGCCGCGGAGCGGCCCGGAGCGGCTCGGGACCAATCGCGAGGCCGCTACGGGCGCAGCCGAGTCTCCCCGAAGGAGAGCGCAGAGCCAATCGCAAAGCCCCGCCGCCGCCCTAGCAGCGCCACCGGGGAGCCAATAGCAAGAGGCCGTCCGCTCCGACCATTGCCGAGCGCGCCCGAAGAGAGCCGAAGCGGGAGAGCCAATGCGGACACGCGCTGCCTCCCTCACACAGCCCCGGCCCGGCTCCGAGCCGCAGCCCGAGGCGGAGAACGGCTGCAGGCTCTCATTGGCTCCCCCGACGGAGCCTCCCATTGGCTGTCGAGCATGAGGCGGTCCGAAGACGCCATCCAGCTGCCGGCGCGCGGCCAATCGGCAGCCGGGGCTGCGGGCAGCGCCCGCTCCCATTGGGCCTCGGGAGCGCCGGCCGCCGCGCTCCGCCTCGCTCACCTTCATGACCTCACCGGGCGTGGGGGAGGGGGAAGGGGAGTGCGCGTGCGCAGTGCTGCCGTCGCGCAGGCGCATGGCGGCCGGGCCTGGCCTGCGCCCGCGTCCTTAGCTCGCCTCAAGGTCCCCAGTCCCGATGCTTGTGGTCAAGAGCACCGGCCTGAAACGCGCGAGTTTCTCGTTCCCGCCCCCGCGAGGCCACAAAACACGAGGCCCTCAACGTGCTGACAGCTTTAAGTGTCTAACAAAATAATCAGCCTTTTTTTTCCTTTTTTTTTCCCCCCAAGGCATCAAAGTGTTGGTAGAGCCTCTTATTCTTTTTTCCAGTCCTGTTCAAAATGGTACTGATGTGATGTGAGCAAATTTAGTTCTCTAATACAGAGTGATCTTAAAAGACAAACGTGTAACCTGGCAATGTGCAACACTTTCCTTCCCAAAATGCACCATCAGACAAGACATTAGTCATGCTTTAAAGTAGAGATTGAATTTCTTTTTTTCTTTTTTTCTTTTTTTTTTTTTTTGGCTTTGACCGCCAAGGACAATCCCATTTTCTTACATTTTGCCCTTCTTTCTAACGATCGCACAAGCCAGTGGAGCAGGCTAAGAGGGACCCTGAGCGCTGCTGTTGGAGAAAGAGGAGAGTCCGGCGGGGTAGTGTGGGCAGGATGAGGGTCATCATTCCCATAGAACTATTTAAAATAAAAATCACGTAAATGCCTAATTCATGCCAGCATTACCCTTTCACAACATGCCTTTAAAATTCCACAAGTCTGCAACCTTATCATTCACTTATGGAGAACAAGGTATAATTCGGAATAAATAAATCAGTCAATAAATTCCTGATGTTTGAATTCATTCACATGGCATAGCTGTTCCCTAAAATCACCCAGTTGCCACTTCACTCCCAAAACAAGCCGTATCAAACCAGAATCTGTCAGTTAACTGCTAATGTCGCTTTTCCAAATCCCAGCCCTGTCCATCCACCTGGGGAATGTCCACCACAAAAACCCCAGCTGCTCCGTTTCCCTTCGCCAATCCTGCCCACATTTCCATGTAATTATTAACCAGTGAACTCTCCCAAACCTGTCCGATTAAGTCACAGTTTTCTGCTCATCTACCTTGAAACTACACAGGTATATTTAAAAGAGAATCGTTACGCATTTAAAGACCATATGAATACATTCCATCTCTAGCTTCTGTTTTCTTTTTTTTTTTTCCCCATAGATTATTTCCTTAGTGAAGACTACCTGGTTTGCCGTCACAGAACCTATAAGCACATAATAATGGCATATGTTAAGGCTTCATTTTTTATTTCAAAAGTATACTGACAGTTAAAATCATGTGGGAAAACCATGAATGAGCTGATTGCTCTTTGGGGTTGAAAGATTCTCTTTTGACGACACCACAAGGTTCACATTTACTTTTGGCCCCTTGCCTGATGAAATTACCTCCCTTTAGGATCTGTAAATATAAATAGAATTGACGTTTTAATAGTCAGTTTTCACAAGAAAGAATAATCTACTGTCTCAGACATTAATATTGTTCCAAATCTGGATATGGAAGACAGCTTTACAGCTGCTACAATACAAAATCAAAGCATTTTTGTAACACCCAAGTTCACAGGGAGTGAGCCTAAAAATACTGAGGATCTGATAGAAATTACTGAAGTGTTATCTCTCTAAAATGCCATAAGGTGGCAGTGAATTAGAAAACTGGTGCTATTTTGGGATAGAACAAATCCTTAAAAAGCTCAATAGCAAGGGGACTTTCATAATTTACATTCATACATCATGCAGGCACATGCAGGGCTCCAGCCTGAACAGGGGCCAGAGTCATAAGCGTGACAGTCTACTGGCATAAACATTGGATTGAGTCACCTTAAACGTAATGCAGACGGTTCTGCTCCAACATGAGCTAGAAAGCAGACATGTTCCTGTACAGGGAGCTCCTGCCTTTTCTTTCTTCTTTGCTTCCTCTATGTGTACTCAGCCAAAAAAAAAAAAAACCACTTTCTGTTGCATTTTTGTTTGCTTTACCTCGCAGCTATTACTGGGTCATTCCAACATGCGCCGTGGTAAGAGGGCAAGAGTGTTTTATACCTCAGGTGGGCTGATAAGGATGCAATCATTTAAGGTTTTGAACTTTGATATACTAGAGAATTAAAGCCATATTAATGGTTCTACCGGTTTTGCACCTTAATTCCCCAATATTGCCAAGGGAATTAGCCAAGAAACAATAGCCTGATGTTTGTGGTTGAACTTTAACTTTTCTTTTTTTTTCCCCTCAGTGGAAAATCAGAGATTATAACAGTAACAAATTTACTGACTGCCCAAGCATTAATGTTTAGACAATAAATCCTGAAAAGTGGTCTTGATTTTTGTCCCAGAACAAAATCCAAATGAATCTCGTACAAGTTGTGTTTATTCTTCTGAGCGGGACAAAGGGTTTAATCTTGAGAACACAGCATTTTGCAATGATTTCCGGTCACAACTTATGTCATCATTGACAATTGCTTCACAGAACAGCTGATGTTTTGCTGATCTGGATGTGCACGGGTGCACATGGGCCTTGTAGGACTCAGGTGTGTTTGCTAAGACCAGCAGAGCCAAGGAGTCTGAACAGTTTAACGTAACAAGAGCTGTGGGCCGCCTCATTTCCCAGTTCTACAGCACAGTAGAGCGAGCACAGCCACAGGATACATGGCAACATTATGGCACATGGAAAACACCAGTGACTCACTCAAGAGGCAAATGCAATTTCATATGGAAGTCCCCACCACAGATGTGCTGGACATATTTAAGGTTGCTCGTAACCACTGGCTCTTGGAAAAAAACATCAGGTTTCACCCTATGCCTGGAGAGCCAGTCAGTCAGTTTGAATTCCTTGTGCTCTGTCATTTGTTTGACCACTTTTTATCCATAAAGAACCCTGAAAAGAAAAAAAAAAAGGCGCATTGTCCATGGTCAAGAGATGCTTTGTCAGCCTAAAGAGCTTTTGCTAGTTTAACGATGTGTCACTAGGATCTCAAAAAAGATCAGATCTAGAAAATTATTGGGCTCCTCTAAGGCTATTATCACCTTCACGTTTGATTCAGCCAAGGAGCCAAGACAGACTTGCTTTCCGTTTGTATTTTCCAATGCTATCAGCAGATCTGATTGATTCTGCAGTGGCAGATAACAAAGAGCAGATGGGCCATTCCTATAGCAAGAAATTAAAAATAAGTTTACTGGGCTCTTCACAGTATGTGTAGAAGAGTCATTAATGTTCTATACTCATTGCTTATACTATTTCCCTGCTTCTCCTATCAACTTTCTATGTGGCTGTTGAGGAGATTTTCTAAATACAAAGTATTAAAGACAGCCTGACACCTGAGGCCGTCTATCTGTTTAAGAGAATCTTGTCAGTCTGAGAAGCCTTGGCTTGAGACATGGGATCAGGAGAACTCTTAGCTCTCAGTAGACCTGTGAAGAAGAAACCCTGCTGCTCTCTAAGTAGAAACTCATCAGGACCTCAGTGCAGTGACATGGACATGTGGGAGAAAACGCATGTTGGCAGCGTCCCAGCACCACCCTGCAGGTCAGGGGAGGCAGCTCAGGCTTTCCAGCTCTGCAGAGGGACCCAGCAGTTGTACAAGGAGCCGGGCTCAGCAGCCAACAAAGGCAATTTCTTTTCTCCACTTCCTCCTCCAGACAGCTGGGGGATATTGCACCAGGGTAATGAGATTTACTGTGCCTTCTCAGGAATATGGGAGGCAAACCCACTAATTCCTGCCAAAACACTTTGCAGAAAGAAAACATTGGTCACGCTGCAAGGTACCAACAGACTGAGAAAGGGCCGCTGGGGAGAGATGTGTGCATGGCAAGCACGGCAAAGGAAGCAGCAAGGAAGCTGAGCCTGGTGACCCTGCCTGGGACTCTGGCCTTGCCGTGGGGCCTCCCCACAGAACGAGGTGGCAGTCATTAGCAGCAATGAAACGTGCATCCAGCCCTTGCTGTTTGCAGGTGCTTTTACCCTCCCTGAAAATAATTGCAGGGGCAGTGGGTCCCACCCACCGGGACTGTCAGCGCCTTGTGGGAGAAGGGGGAGGCAGTGCTGGCTGAGGTAGAGCCACTCTTGGTACGGGTGAGATGAAACTCTCATCCTGTCTTACGCTGGAAATACAAATTCACTCATGTCGGGGACCAGCCAAAGAAACAGCCAGTGGTTGCACAGAGCTAAGCCAGCCCAATCATTCTACATATGTCACCCACAGGGGTGTTGTGTGGGGCCTCTATGAGCAGAATAATTCTAGCCCAGAGTTAGGATTCTTCCCTTCAGCTTCATCCTACATAAAAAGGTGTCAGCATGGGGGATAAGTGGGACCTATTAGAAAATGCATTGATAGTTGTGAAGAGGTCAAAGTCTAACGGTATTTTCATTTTTTTCCCACTGTTTTTTTTGCCAAGCCTAATTCATTTAATGATCCTGGCCTCACTAACCACCATGGCGTGCTACTTCCTTGGTCCTTAGCTTGCAAACGGTTGCTGCTTGGTGCTGCATCTTGCATTGTGCATCTGGTGCCGACAGCTGCTGCTGTCCTGAGGTGGAGACAGCTGTTTTCTAAAGGCGAGTTCTCTCAGAAACCTCTAAAAGATCTGGAGAAAAAAACGTGTCATTGAAACTTAGCCATCAAATATGGAAAACTGTCCGATACGTGCACTGGCTAAAGGGTGTCTAGAGACACCGAAGTTAAAATTAGGCACAGGAAAGAGAAAACAAGGTGCTTACTGTTGCCTCCTTAAAGCGTGAATTCTTTGTGTCCCCCATAAAAAATGCCTCTTTCTCCCAATTTCTTGTTGGCTGCTTGACATGGCCAGACCTTTTAAACTGCCCCTGCTCGTCTGATCAGACCAACAGCCCACGTTGCTTCTGCTGCAGCCTGTTAAGAATAATTCAAAAGCTTTCCCACAAGGAAGGATACAGGATCCGACAGCGAGAGAAAACTGGCGCTGACAAGAAACCAGTAGCATGGAAGCAATAAAAAGCCTTAGAAATCAGTGGAAACAACCATGCTCCCTACAAATAAATAAATAAATAAA